CAGCATTGCAAGGAGCTGTACTTCTGGACAGGGCTAAGATCCCATGTACATGCCAAGTACTTATTTAAGAAAGACATTGGTCAATAAATTAATTATTCTGGAATCTGAGTGCACACCAATTATCCCCCCCCCGATATATACCTAATATATATTTAGAGAGAGAGTGACCATCCTCAGTTGTTTGGAGGCGGAATGGGGAAAAGAAGGTTGGAGGAAATGTTTTTATCTCAAATGAATGAAAAAGATGGAAGAGCAGAGGAAGCTTTCAAATAATTATAGGTACTTTTGAAAGTATTGGTCAAGCTAGCCTAATTATTTCATGTGAATTAATTCAGGCTCTTACAAATAGTGTCACAATTATTTGGGAATATTAGAAAACTAATTTGCAAAACAAGCGTAGGCGACTGCTGAGTAATGATAACATCACTTGACTTTGACCCCTCTGTGGCACTTCACTCCCTCCCACTGTGACATGAAAACACACACACACACACACACAGAGAGAGAGAGAGAGAGAGAGAGAGAATTTGCAATGAGGTCCTTTGACCTCCAAAAGGTCAGCCACCCCGGCTTTAAAGGGTCCTGGAAGATAACAGTAGCTGTGGAAGCAAACCCAAGGTTTGAAAGATGGGCACACCCCCAAGTTACTGCACATACATTTGTGAAATTTATAAAACCCTGGGCTTCTGAGTCTGTTTGGTCTCACATGGGGACATTGTGTATGGGTTCCAACTGTTATTTACCAATAACTGGAGCTTAGTTGGCTTTGGAAGGATTGGACAGATATTTATGGACAGAGATTGGATAACTCAGATAGGACCTAGGAGCATGCCTCATACTAAATTAACCCACTGGTCCATTTAGTCTGATATCAGTATTGAGTCTCTGGCAGCTCTCAGGAGTTTCAGGCAGGGAACATTCCCAGACCTACCTGGACATGCCACTGGGGATTGAACCTAGGACCTTCTGCATGCAAAGCAGGTGCTCTACCACTGAGCTACATTTTCTTCCCAATGAATGACCCTCCGTGTTGAAAGGCAGCCTGACTCTGAGTGACAGATGCTGAAGACAGCAAAAAGGAACAGCCGGGGCTTTGGACTTCATGCCCTCTTTCTGGGCTTCTCAGTGGATAGTATTCGGGTGATGAATGTTCCAGGCAAGCAGAGCTAGATGAGGTCTTGGCTCAAGCCAGCAGGGCCCTGCTACTGTACTCACAAGTTTGATGCAGCAGCCTCCAAGGCAAATGGTGATCTATCTCATCCAGAAATGAGCGTTAATTCCCCTGAGAGATGAAATGTGATATTTGAAGGCTCCCAGTCACTCAGCTAACATTCCAGGGCCTTTGCAACCCAAGAGTTGGGGAATCTGTCAGCTGGCACTTCACATGCACTAAGTAGATGGGTTCAAAATAATATTTTGTTTGGGGGCTTTTAAATACAACAACAACCCATTACTGCTTTGTGGTGCAAGGCATCTCATCACATCTGTTAACACTACGGTAATTTCAGAAAATCAACATGCTTACCAAGTTACAAATGAATGACTTTTTTGAGAGCCAGTGCATACCCTCCAAGTGTCCTTGTTTTCCAGGGACACCCCTGATTTAGAGAAGGCATCCCAGTTTCTGATTTGATCCTGGAATGTCCCGCTTTTCCTTAGGACGTCCCTATTTTCACTAGAGAAATGTTGGAAGGTATGGAGTTATCTGACCCCCGAGCCATCTGAAGGCAATCCTATATAGAAAAGGTTTTTTTTATGTTTTTATATATGTTGGAAGCTGCCCAGAGTGGCCAGGGCAATCTAGTAACATGGGGCGGGGGGGGGTAAAAATAGTAGTATTATCATTGTGGAATGGGATGTCCCAATTATTATCAGAGAAATGTTGGAGGGTATGCCAGTGTGGTGCAGTGGTTAGAATGTAGAACCAGAGCCTGGGAGAGATGGGTTCAAATCCCCCCAAGTAGAAATGAAGCTCAGTTGGTGTGACCTGGGGCCAGTCACTGTCTCTCAGCCTAACCTACTTCACAGGGTTGTTGTGGAGATTAAACAAGAGTGGGGGAGAACATCATTTGCCACTGAGTTTCTCTGAGGAAAAGATGGGAAAGAAATGCAATAAATAAAATAAAATAAATATGGGATAGGGTCAGAATGTTCTTGGGGAATGGTTTTCTTTTTGATATGGAGATATATATTTATTTAAATACATATACTTATATAGCACCAGTTATGTAGACATCTCAAGTGTGTACAACAAAGCATAAAATACAAGACCAAAAATGCAATTTATTTACATTTATACCCCAACTTTCTCCCAAGGAGCTTAAGGTGGCATACATGATGCTGCTCTTTCCCATTTCATCCTCACAGCAACACTGTGAGGTAGGCTAGGCTGAAAGGGGCAGTGGCTGGCCGAAGATCACCCAGTGAGCTTCATGGGCAAATGGGCTTTTGAGTGCTTTAGCAGCTGTTCCCCACTTGGGATTCCCAGCAACTGGTAGAGAGCTGTGAGGTATTGACAGTGAAGATAGAGCACAGCCATCATGGCTAGCAGCCTTTGATAGCTTATTGTCCTCCATGAATTTGGCCAATCCTCTTTTAAAGCCACCCATCACACCCTCTGTTGGGAGTGAGTTCCATAGTTGAACTATGCACTACGTGTAATATTTGTATCACAAGGTATGGTACATTGCCTTTATGGAAAAACTGAAAAAGAATCTGAGAGTAGAGTCTCTAAGTGTGACAAATTTATTTCAACATGGCATTCTTGTATTAATTATCTCAATAATTAAACTAACAGTCAACATCCTCCTGTTGCATTATACAATAATTTGGAATGCTGAGTTTCATAAGAGCAGTACAGCTTTATTCATTATTACACAAACAAGAAAGGAGTACCTGTGGCATTTAAAAGCCTTTGGATCTCATTTAGATCCCCCCTCCCATCAGATATTCTTCACTCACCGGAATTGCCCTGTGAAGAGCTAGAAATAACAAATAAGGCTGTTTGTACTATATGGAATGCTTTTCCCCATTACATATATTTAGATGCCAGGTGAAAACATTCCTCTTCTCCCAGGTCTCTGGCTCCTTAAACGATCTATGGCCTTTTAAACAGGGGGTAGTTATTGTTTTGTTTGTATTATTTTATATTTTTGTGTTTTCATTCTGTAAACTGCCCTTGGATCCTTGGATGAAAGGCAGTATATAAATTTAGTAAGTAAATAAGTAAGTAAATAGTTTTATGCTTCCTATTACATCAATATTGTATGTTTTCCACCTGAACAATCTTTTCTTCTTATTTTCTTTTACTTACCTGTACCCTTCATTGCTTTTCTCTATCCACTTTCTCCAGGACATACATATATTTATAAATGTCTATCCTGTCGCCTCTTACGTACCCTTTCTCTAAACTGAAAAGTCCCTAACACTTCAACCTTTCCTCTTGGGGAATCGCTCCATCCCTTTGATTATTTGGATTGTCAAATAGCTGTCCTGTAGGTACCTCTTTCAGTCATCTGTGTTCCTCCCCGCCCACAGCTTAAGCTGTCTGCCAACCTTCCCAGCTAAGGGTGCTCTCTCCCCACTTACTCAGTTTGCCCCCTGAATTATCAGGGGCAAAAGCTCTATTTGGAGACAGAGAAGAATGGAGGGAGGCTCCAGGAAGGGGACCCCTAACAGAGGAGCAAAAGAGGTTGCAGCCTTTGCCCTCCAGAACTCTCAGTGACTTTGGAAAGAAGGAGGGAGAGAACCAGTGCAGAATAAGGTTACAGCAGGTAGAGCATCAGGGTTTGAATTCCCACTTGACCATGAAGTTTGCTGGGTGACCTTGGAGCAGTCAATTTCCCCCAACCTTGGAGGGTTTGTTGTGGTGATTAAATGAGGAAGGGGAGAACCATGTACCCAACCTTGAGATCTTAGGAGGGAAAGGAGATGTAGACTGTCTGTCTCTGGAGACAGTGGAAGACTGCACCTTTGGAGGTGAAGTCTAACTGTTGGAAGGTTTAAGCTCCTGCTGTGGCTGGAGAGACATGTTTTGTTGCAGCTGGGGCAGATGAAGGTGTCAGGTTGTGCTGATGCAGGTACACCACAGAGTTTCTTCTTTCTGCACTCCTCCCAGAGGTCATTCCTCCTCTGGTATATAAAATATATCTGGCAGGCAGCCTTTTTCTGCCTTCTATATGAATGGCATTCACTGTCTCATCAGTGGCAAGAGTCAGGGGATATGGCAATTAAGGCAGTGTGGTATAGTGTTTAGGGTGTCAGACTAGGGCCAGGGAGGCCATGGTACGAATCCCTGCCTGGCCATGAACCTCATCTTGGGCCAGTCGCCCACTCTCAGTCTGACATAGACCAGAGGGTTGTTGTGTTGATAGTGGCAGACAGCAATGTTCCTGAACACCAGTTGCTGGAAACCACAGGAGGGGAGAGGGCTGCTGGGGTGCCCAGGTTTCCTACAGGCACCTGGTTGGCCCCTGTGAGAACAGGATGCTGGGCCAGAGGGACTATCCGCCTGATCCACTTGGACTGGGTCTCTCGTGAGGATAAAATGGAAAGAGAACGGCGCCGCCACTTTGAGCTCCTCGGAAGAAAAGGTGGCTATGCGAACGTAAGAATGAAATAAAACAAAGAGGTTGCAGTTTTGACCCCGTATGGGACAGCTGCATTGCAGGGGGTTGGGGCCAGACGATCCTTCCAACTCAACAGGTCTTTATTCCACTTTCTTCTTCGCTCCTCGCGTGGAGCATTCAGCTGGATGAGTCTCTCTCTCTCTCTCTCTCTCTCTGGCCGAGCGAGGACTCCTCCTCCTCCTCCTCCTCCTCTTTCAATGCAATCGTCGCCGCCTCGCCTCCAGAAGGGAAATGGGAGGGAGGGAGGGGACAGTGAGCCCCCCCCCACCCCACTCCTAGTCCCCATTCCTTGACTGTTGACGGCTTCGTTGCGCGGCCAGGTACAGCAAGACTCTGGGCGCGCGTGGCGGACAGAGGGAGGAGCAGAGAGTGGGGGGGGTACTTTTAAGCAGGGGTAACAGCCCATCTCTGACCGGGTGGGGGGAGAGAGAAAGCAGATATAAGGCAGGCAGGCAGAGGCTGTCCAACGTCCCGGCGGCTCCCGCTGCCTCCGTAGCCGCAGCCGGGACGCAGCTGGCAACAGCTGGCTCGCAACTTTCCGGACCCCTCGCAAGAAAGCTTAGATCCGAATCCAATGGGCGCTGCAAGACCCTTGGCTTCTGACCAACTATGAGCCGGCAGCGGCCCTTCTGGCTGCCTCCGCCTCTCTTCCTCTCAAATCCCTTTTTCCGCAGCCAAGATGCCGAGAGCGAAAACAGCAGCGAAGACTTGTTTTCAGACTTCGAGGGCTTCGACAACGAGAGCTCCTTCTCCCTAGACGACTGGGACGTGGACGACCTAGACGGTTTCGACAGCGGTGCGCGCTACGAAGGGGCGTCCCAGAGCAGCAGGGTGAGAGCGCTGCTCATCATGGCCTACTCGGTCATCATCTGCATCTCGCTCTTCGGGAATCTGCTGGTCTGCCACGTGGTGGTGAAGAACAAGAAGATGCACACGGCCACCAGCCTCTTCATCGCCAACCTGGCCGTGGCGGACATCATGATCACCACCCTGAACACGCCCTTCACTTTGGTAAGAAATGGTCACTGGAAGGGAACGCTCCCCTACTCACCCAGCCAGCAAGTTGCAGTGAGCAAGAATAAGTTATGTAGCTCCTGGCTGCAGGCTTAGAATCATAAAGGGCATAGCACAAAAGGAAAAGGGATTGGGAGGGAAGAGGGGGGGAAAACTCCAATCCAGAGGCTAGCTCTGAGTTGCAAAGTTCTTATAAGTATTCAGTCTGGCAGGGAAGGGCAACACCAGCTGCATCTTCTCCAGTGGATGGATGAGACCAGGCTGGTTTCCCCCTCACCATGATGTTGCTCCTTGGGAAGAGTAATTCCTTTTGTAGATCTAAATCTGAACAAGCTAGCAGCAGCTGGGTCATCAGGTCTTAGAATCGCTAGCCCACAGCATTTAGCATTGTGTTGGCTCCCAAACAGGGCTCAGTCCCAAGACAGGAGACAAAATAACAGGGGCAAGAGTTCCCCTGATGATATGCAGAGTTCCCTCCTCTTTCCAAGTGGCTGCTCCAAACTGCACACAGAATCTCTGTGCTGGTGCCAGCCTCCAGCAAAAAGCTCCACATACCATGTGAAGCATATAAGAGTTAATCAATAATTTTTATCTGTCTGTGCAATTGCTCCAATTTAAGTCTCAAGGTTAAGCAAGTTTATCAGAAAGTATTGCAGCACCTTAAAGCTGATGAATGTACTGAACAGGCATAAACTTTTGTTTGTCTTTGCTGTTTTTGCAGGAATAGACTGACGGGGGGGGGGAGGCATACCTCTATCCTAACCAGGAGTCAGTTTCCTTCTTTGAAAGCCTTTGGGGGCTCGCTCATACCCCTCTTTAAGAAACCCTACCCCAATCCCAGAAGCCAAAGGAGAACTGTCTAGTCCAGTGTTTCTCAAACTTGGGTCTCCAGCTGTTTTTGGACCACAACTCCCATCATCCCTAGCTAGCAGGGAATATGGAAATTGTAGTCCAGAAACAGCTGAAGACTCAAGTTTGGGGAAACACTGGCTCTAGGGTTATTCAACAAGGAGTGAACAGCAAACTACATTTTAAAAAGAAAATAATAAAATAACAATCCCCCTCAGGACCCTCGCACCTCCCATCCTTCACAACTATGCCACTTTTTTGAGAACTAAGCTCCAGCAGGTTCCTATTAAGTTTATTTACTTACTATATTTATATCCTACCTTTCCTCCAAGGAGCCCAATGTGTAGACGGACGTCTTCCCATTTTATCCTCATAGCAACCCTGTGAGGTAGGTTAGGCTGAGAGACAGTGACTGGTCCCCAAAGTCCTAGCCCAGGTCTCCCAAGTCCTAGCCCAGGACGCTAACAACCTTACCAACACTGGCTGTCTAGTTCTGGCTATGGTTCTCGATTTCTTACAATGTGTGCAGGTTGTTGGTATGTGTGTACTGGATTTCAACTTCCTGCTGTAGTTTTATCTGCTGGCTGGGCACAGTGTGTCTGTCTATAAGAGTGTAGGAACAGCTTGCCTATCTAGTCCAACATCCTGTTCTCACAGTGACCAATCAGATGCCTCCATGGGAAGCATACAAGCAGGAGTTGAGCACAAGAGCAAACTCTTCCCTCTTGTGGTTCCCAGCAACTGGTATTCAGAAGCATTGCTGCCTCTGACTGCGGAGGCAGAGCATGGCCACTGATAATTAGTCGCCATGGGTAGTCCTTCTCCATGAATTTGTCTAATCCTTTTCTAAAGATATCCATGTTGGGGGCCATCAGTGCCTCCTGTGGGAGAGAGTTCCACAGCTTCACTATGTGCTGAATGAATTATCTGCCCTGAATCTGCCAATGTTCAGCTTTGTTGGGTGTCCACGAGTTTTAGCATTATTATGAGAGAGGGAGAAAATCGTTCCTCTCTCCACTTTCTCCATGCCATGTGTAGTTTTATAAACTTCTATCATGTCGCCTCTTCCTCACTTTTTCTCTAAATGAAAAAGTCCCTAACTCTCCATTCTAGTTGCTCTTTTTCTGAACCCTTTTCCAACTCTACAATATCCTTTTTGAGGTGAGGCGACCAGAACTGAACACAGTACTCTGTGGGGGTCATTGGGGACTCTGCTTTCTTCTTCTCTTCATTCAGAGAACTGTTATCTATTCCGGCTCTTTGCTTCCTGTGACTTAACCAATTCCTGACCCACAGGAGGACCTCTCCACACTAGCACAGTGTGCCAGAATGTCTTGGTTTATAGCGCCATCAGGGCAGGAGTTTGGGGCAGAAGCCCTGGGGGGGGGGAGAGCAGATGCAGTTGGACTGACTTGCCACATGTTTGGTGTGAGTGAAGTTACACACATTTAAAAAGCCACCCACCCATCATATGACCATTAAGTCCTGAGTCTAAAATTACCAAAGTGCATTTCTAGGGTGTGCTTAAGCTTCTGTGTATTTTAAACCTTTTAAACTTCTGCAAATGCTATTATTTTGGAATGCCATGTATAGTCATGTACAGCCTCCAACTGTGAGAGAGTATGATTTCACAGGGGAATAAGAGGGAAGGTGTACATTTATTATTTATTTATTTACATTTGTCTCCCAACTTTCCTCCCAAGGAGCTCAAGGTAGCATAAATGCCGTCATTCCTTTCCATGCTATCTTTGGAACGACCCTGTGAGGTAGGTTAAGCCAAAAGAAAGTGACTGGCTCAAGGTCACATCTAGTGAGCTTCATGGCAGAGTGGGGATTCGAACCCTGGTCTCCCAGGTCTTAGTGCAGCACTCAAACCGCTGCACCAGCACTGGCTGGCTTTATTTCTCTTCTGGTAATAAGCATTTGGAGTTTTTGTTCCTGATCCAGCAGGGACTTGCTCTGTTCTCTACTGGACCACCACCATTTGTGCACAAAGTTAAAACTCCCCCCAGTATTGGAGCAAAGGAGAATGTAGGTATACCATTCACGTCTCTAGAAAATGAAGAAACTTCCTGTCCCTTCTCAGTGCAACAAAAATGGTGCCCAGTTCTTTCAATCAGTTTTCAGTAATGATATAGTTATCCCACACTTCCTCCAAAGAGCAGAGTCCCCCCCTTTTCCTTTTTAAAAATAATCCTCACAACAAACCTGTGAGGTAGGTTAGGTGGGAGAGACTGAAGGACTGTTGCTCCAGGTAAAGCATCTTCCTTGCAAGCAGACGTTCCCAGGTTCCGTCCCCAGCATGGCCAGGTAAGGAGGGTAGGAGAGACTATCTCTGGAAACCTGGAGAGCCACTGCTGGTCTATGTATACAGTACTGAGGCAGATGGACCAATGGTCTGAATTCATCCATAATTTAAAATATATAAAAAATTTAAACCACCACAGAATAAATTAAAACAAATTAAAACTTTCTAATCATCTGGATAGGCTTGTCTAAATAAGAATGTCTTCAGCAGGCACCAAAGAGAGTACAGTGAAGGCACGTGTCTGATATCAACTGCAAATCTAACCCTAAATCACATATTCACCACCACCCACTCTCCTTACTTAAAGTACTTTATCTTGATACTGGGCTTAGGGAGGTGTGCAGATAGATGACTCTTCTCTGACAGCTCCTGAAACAGCTCCTGACCGAACAGAAGAAACTGGTCGCCCCCCCCCCCCAAGTAATCTTAGTTTGGGAAATGTTTTGAAAACACAGTGTACAATCCACTGGGAAAATCTCTTGTACCGTCCCAAATGGATTGTGGCCCCATTTCCTCACAGACACTTTTACAATTGGCCTCAGGGCCAGTCCACCCATGAGTCAAAGTGAGGTGACTGCCTCAGGCGGCAGAATCGCCAGGGGAAGCAGATCCCAATGCTGATCTTTATTCCCCTCTTGTTCCTGATGTAGATCTTCACTTATCTCTTCTTCCCTGGCAGGAAGCAGGGTACTGTTTTGTACTTCATTTGAGGTGCCCAGAAGTCTTGGGCTGGCCTTGGTTGGTGTGATGAAAGTCTTCTGCCCTTGTTTACAACAATTCATGCAGTTCAATGGGAATTGTACCCTAAAAGGGAAGCTTTGGTAACTCGTTTTCAAATTTGCATCTGGTGTGTGTGTGTTGATGGGGGGTTGTATGACAGTTCACCTGTCTGCCAATCTATCTCACTATACAATGCTCTTGTAAGGATACACTGAAGAGGAACTATGAATCCTGTGTTCCTTGGTCTGACAAAATGGCTAGAGGTTGAGGCTAAGACCTGGGTTCAAATCTCCACTCAGCCATGAAGCTTTCACTGGGTAACCTTGGGGGCTAGTCACACTGCCTATCAGCCTAACCTACCACACTGGGTTGCTTTGGAGATTAAATAAGGAGGAGGCCTCTGAAAGCCCCTGGAGCTCACTGGAGGAAAAGGTGGGATATAAATGCAACAAAACAAACAAACAACAAACAAACAAACATACATACATACATACATACATACATACATACAAGTAAACAACTAGGAGTGCTTCCACATGGGTGTCTCATGTGGGATGTGTCCTCAGACATGCAAATATTTTGTACACCCACATGGTATCTCTATTACCCCCCTCCAAAAAAATAATAATAATCCAGGTTTGCCCTTTCTAGTAAGATTCTGATAATGTGAAAAAACATTTTGCCAGCAACCCATTTACAATATCTGAATGATCTGTTATGATATTAAGCTCCTGTTTGGGGGAGGGGGGAAAGAACCCCTTCACTTTAATCCACATTTGGGATGATTTACAAATTGCCTGCTATACTTTCTAGGTCCGATTTGTTAGCAGAACCTGGGTTTTTGGAAAGCAGATGTGCCACGTGAGCCGGTTCGTTCAATATTGCTCTGTCCATGTGTCTGTGCTGACTCTGACAGCTATTGCTCTGGACCGCCATCAGGTAGAGTATCGTTTTTTTAAATCCCAATACTTTACAAAGAGAATACGAAATCTGCACCAAGAGAATGCAGATTCCACAATCAGAATTAATAATGCACTTTAAAAGCTGGGAGAAACAGAATGGCCTGCTAATGGCAGGTAAGAGGGAACACTGAACGTTGCTTGGGCAGCTGGGTGGGACACTGAAACAGTCTATGTCAGCCTGTGCTGGCATTCCCAGACAAGTGTATAAAGGCATTTTCACATATCAACTGACAGCCAGTTTTTCTGGTGTTTCCCGAGAATGTCTTTCAAACATAACACTGGAATGGGCTGATGTTGTTTTTTAAATGGGCCTCAGAATTGACCAATAATGGCCACCAACCCTGATTGCTTAAAAAGAGGATTAGACAAATTCATGGAATAACTACTGGCTATAATGGCTATGCCCTGGCTCCACCGTCAGAGGCAGCAACGCTTCTGAATACTACTTGATAGAGCTGGAACAGAGAGCTGCTCCTGTGCTCAAATCCTGCTTGTGGGTTTCCCACAGGTATCTGGGTGGCCAGTAAGATAACCGGATGCTGGAACAGATGAGCTGCGGCCCTGATCTAGCAGGCTCTTCATTTGTCCTTATGTTCATGAAATAATATACTAAGTAAATTCAAAGTGGGAGCAAGTAAACATCACCCACGCTCTGAAAGGGAAAAGCACTTGTGCCCAAATCTGCAATAACCCTGCCACTGCCAACCTCAGTTGCAGAGACCATTTTCAGCAGCTTGCAAGACCTTTTGCAAAAACAAACAAAGCCTCTTTTCGCCTCTGTTTTGACTCGGCCCACTTTATTACATGAGATTGAGTCCTATTGATCTCCATAAGACATAGGAATATGTTTGTGAGTCAAGGCCTGTACAGTGGTACCTCGGGTTAAGTACTTAATTCGTTCCGGAGGTCCGTTCTTAACCTGAAACTGTTCTTAACCTGAAGCACCACTTTAGCTAATGGAGCCTCCTGCTGCCACCGCGCCACCAGAGCACGATTTCTGTTCTCATCCTGAAGCAAAGTTCTTAACCTGAAGCACTATTTCTGGGTTAGCGGAGTCTGTAACCTGAAGCGTATGTAACCTGAAGTGTATGTAACCCAAGGTACCACTGTATGAGAATTTACAACCTTATTTATTCTGTGACTTCCTTAGGTCATCGTGCATCCACTGAGGCCTCGAATGTCCATCATTAAAGGAAGGATCTGCATTGCTGTCATCTGGTTAATGGCAAGCTGTTTCTCCCTGCCCCATGCCATCTACCAGAAGCTGATGTGGCTTTCTATGGGGTAAGAGGAATAAACAAGACACATCATTAAAAGGGGCACCCGCTGCATTATTTGTCGCTGCAAATATTACAAATGATGCCTGAAGAATCATAGAATCATAGAACCATAAGGGCCATCGAGTCCAACCCCCTGCCAAGCAGGAAACACCATCAGAGCACTCCTGACATATGCTTATCAAGCCTCTGCTTAAAGACCTCCAAAGAAGGAGACTCCACCACACTCCTTGGCAGCAAATTCCACTGTCGAACAGCTCTTACTGTCAGGAAGTTCTTCCTAATGTTTAGGTGGAATCTTCTTTCTTGTAGTTTGCATCCATTGCTCCGTGTCCACTTCTCTGGAGCAGCAGAAAACAACCTTTCTCCCTCCTCTATATGACATCCTTTTATATATTTGAACATGGCTATCATATCACCCCTTAACCTCCTCTTCTCCAGGCTAAACATGCCCAGCTCCCTTAGCCGTTCCTCATAAGGCATCATTTCCAGGCCTCTGACCATTTTGGTTGCCCTCCTCTGGACACATTCCAGTTTGTCAGTGTCCTTCTTGAACTGTGGTGCCCAGAACTGGACACAGTACTTCCAGGTGAGGTCTGACCAGAGCAGAATACAGTGGCACTATTACGTCCCTTGATCTAGATGCTATACTCCTATTGATGCAGCCCAGAATTGCATTGGCTTTTTTAGCTGCCGCGTCACACTGTTGGCTCATGTCAAGTTTGTGGTCAACCAAGACTCCTAGATCCTTTTCACATGTACTGCTCTCAAGCCAGGTGTCCCCCATCTTGTATTTGTGCCTCTCATTTTTTTTGCCCAAGTGCAATACTTTACATTTCTCCCTGTTAAAGTTCATCTTGTTTGTTTTGGCCCAGTTCTCTAATCTGTCAAGGTCGTTTTGAAGTGTGATCCTGTCCTCTGGGGTGTTAGCCACCCCTCCCAGTTTGGTGTCATCTGCAAATTTGATCAGGATGCCCTTGAGTCCATCATCCAAGTCGTTGATAAAGATGTTGAATAAGACCGGGCCCAAGACAGAACCCTGTGGCACCCCACTAGTCACTCTTCTCCAGGATGAAGAGGAACCATTGATGAGCACCCTTTGGGTTCGGTCAGTCAGCCAGTTACAAATCCACTGAGTGGTAGCATAGTTAAGACCGCATTTTACCAGCTTCTTTACAAGAATATCATGGGGCACCTTGTCAAATGCCTTGCTGAAATCAAGGTAGGCTACATCCACTGCGTTCCCTTCATCTACCAGGCTTGTAATTCTGTCAAAAAACGAGATCAGGTTAGTCTGACATGACTTATTTTTCAGAAATCCATGCTGACTATTGGTGATCACAGCATTCCTTTCTAGGTGCTCACAGACTGTTTGCTTAATGATCTGCTCCAGAATCTTCCCTGGTATTGATGTCAGACTGACTGGACGATAATTATTTGGGTCCTCTCTTTTCCCCTTTTTGAAAATAGGGACAACATTTGCCCTCCTCCAGTCTGCCGGGACTTCGCCTGTTCTCCAGGAATTCTCAAAGATGACTGCCAGTGGTTCTGAAATCACATCTGCCAGTTCTTTTAATACTCTTGGATGCAGTTCGTCTGGCCCTGGAGACTTGAATACATCTAAACTAGCCAAGTATTCTTGTACTATCTCCTTAGTTATTCTGGGCTGTGTTTCCTTTGCTGAATCATTTGCTCCAAATTCTTCAGGTCGGGCATTGTTTTCTTTATCGGAGAAGACTGAGGCAAAGAAGGCATTGAGGAGTTCAGCCCTTTCTGTGTCCCCTGTTTGCATTTCAAGAGATGGGAAGGTACTGCAGAGGAAATTTATTTGAAGGGTTCGGCTCTGACAATGCTGCTGCTATCTTTTAGCTGCTTCTTTAGGTGTCCATGCTCTACTTGAGAAACATTCAAACCATACCTTTAAAGCACTATGATACCACTTAAACAGCCATGGCTTTCCCTAAAGATTTATGGGACTTGGAGTTTGTTTAAGGGTGCGGAGAGTTGTGATGAGGCCCCTGTTCCCCTCACAGAATTGCAGTTCTCAGAGTGGTTTAACAGCCGATCCTTCTTCACAGGGAACTCTGGTACTGTAGCTCTGTGAAGGGAATAGAGGATTTCCTAACAATACTCAGGGCCCTAAAACAAAACAAAACAAAACAAAATTACACCTCCCGGGATTCTCTGGGGGAAGCCATGACTGTTTTAAATGTTGTGTTGTGAAGGTGGCCTTGGTGTTCCCCAGAACCGCTTCCCTCCCTCCATACAAAGGCTGATAGACCTTTAAAAAAAACCCTTCTGAGTTGCTTCCAAAGTTCCCCACTTCCCCTTAGCTTAGAAAGAGACCACACATTTGGTAAGTTAAAAATGGCTTCCTTACAAATTCTTCAAAATGCCATATTCCACCAGCAGCAAGAAAAGACCAGCAGTACAACTTACTTCAAAATTGGCAAATATTTCTCAGTAACTATTTGTATAAAACACAAAAGTGGCTTGCTTAAGCAACACAATCTAGGCTTGGAACATCCAGATTAGACCACCTTACTGGTAGGGTTCTCATAGTGGAAGAGAAGAGAACAGAGAGTTTGGTAACCCTTCCTCCCAAGGTGAGGAGATGTGACCGAGTAAAGCCTGGCAGCACAGCTTACTTTATGGTCTTAACCCCTTCATGCATTAATTAGGGTTAAGCATGGTGGTTATATGATGCTAGATTTATCACAGTCCATCCCCGTCCCCCCGCAACTCCAACAGGTTTCGGATGAGAGGGCTGTGCTGTCTGTCTAGCCCAACTTACCCCATGCAAGATGGAAACCTGTTTCTCACCTTTTGCCTGAAACCTCATAATACCTCTGTTAACAAACTGCGCTCCCAGAATTCTCTGGGGGGAAGCCATGAATGGTTGTAGTAGTATCATAGCACTTAAAATGGATGTTGTAAACATGGGCCTAGCTTGCCTAGTCTACACCAGTCTGGTGGCCTCCTGATGATTTTGGCTACAACTCCCATCAGTATTGTCTACTCTTCACGGAGGAATTTGTTCTTCTTCTGTATTTCAGAAACAGAACGATTCGTGTGGTCTGCCTCCCAAGCTTCCCCCCTCCAAAAGATCTTTATTGGAAGTACCTGGATTTGACCACCTTCTTTCTCCTGTATCTCCTGCCCCTGTCGGTAATCTCCATCGCTTACACAGTGGTTGCCAAGAAAATCTGGATGCGGAACGCCATTGGTGATGTGACCATGGAGCAGTACTATGCCCACCAGAGGAAGAAGAAGATGACTCTGAAGATGCTGATGGTGGTTGTGCTGGTCTTCGCTGTCTGCTGGTTCCCGTTAAATTGCTACTTAGTCCTCATGTCTAGCAAGGCCATCCAGAGCAACAACATCCTTTACTTCGCTTTCCATTGGTTCGCCATGAGCAGCACCTGCTACAACCCTTTCATCTACTGCTGGCTGAATGAGAACTTCCGCTCGGAGTTCAAGTCCCTGCTGCGTATGTGCTGGAGGAAGAGGGCCACTGGAAATCACACCCTGCAGTTAATAATGGCCCCTTTCAGGCACACCTGCAGTGAGAATTGCCCCTGCAAGCAAGGTACCATTTCAGCAAACAAGAGGTGCATCCCACAGGAATTTGGTATGGACAGAGATATCCAATGTCCAGCCAATAATAATGGGTAGATGCATCTCTGGATCAGCCTGGTGCCCCCCACATATTTTGGGCTACAGCTCCTATCAGTGTGTTGCCTGAGGCTGAAGGGAGCTGTGTTGCAAAACTACTGTGGGGGCACCAGGCTGATGAAGGCTGCTCTGGAAGAATGAATGGGTTCAGAGGGCTCCCACAGCATTGTGTATGGAGCTAGCCAGCCAGTGCAACTCTGGGATATCAGCAGCTCCATACACAGATGCATGGACTGTTCAGGCATTTGAGAAACAGAGGCATTATTGTTTTTTGGCCTGAACTTAGTCAATGCACTCTTGCACAAATCAGCTTTAGGGTGCATCTCTCCAGGAAAGATGTGGTGATTTTGGTAGAAGGCAGGCATGGCCAAACTTGGCCCGCCAGGTGTTTTGGGACTACAATTCCCATCATCCCTGACCAACTGGACCAGTGGTCAGGGATGATGGGAATTGTAGTCCCAAACACCTGGAGGGCCAAGTTTGGCCATGCCTGGTAGAAGGGATCATTCTCACAAAGCTCTTCTGACTGTGGCACAGAAGCCACCATTAGGACTGAGACTTCATTTTCAATCACAGGTTAGAAGGTCCCAGTCAGTAAATTGATGCAGGATGTATTTCCTTAGTGCCTAGCTTGCAGGCCCAGCTACAGATGTTTTGCCACCTTAGGCAAAACAGAAAATGAAGTGCCTGGAGGTGGCATGGGGGAAGCCCCTGTACAGTGAAGGGGGAGGGGAGAAAAAATGAGGCCAGAGAACAACAGGCAATGGAGGTGGGTGGATAGTGGTGATGAGGATAACAAGTGCAGGAGGCTGCAAGCACTGTGCTCCTCAGGGCCCAGATCTGCCGCCCCCTCCCAGAGGCCCCCAGCGTGCCACCTGAGGCAACTGCCTCACCACGCCTCGTGGTGCCTCAGTTGCCACCTGACACCAGTGCATGTTTTGAAAGTATTTCCTGGGCTATTATTTGCGCACAGGAATGCATGCACACAAAAAGCAGCACTGGTGCGTTTTGGACCAAAGAAGGATAGTTTCACCCCTCCTGAAAAGCAAAAAGCTCTGGTTTGGATCCAGCTTACATCTTGGTCATCAGGAGGAGAGAGATTGTGAGAGTTGAAGGCATACACACCAACATTTTTGTCCCCAAAACAGGGAAGTCAGGAGAGGCACACCTTCTGGTCCAGTGCTCTGGGGATCATCAGTAGGATCATGCCAGAGCATCTTCTGGTCCAGCACTCTGGCATGAACCTGCTGACTCACACCAGAGTGTCTTTAGGTTTGGCGCTCTGGTGTGAGTACTTGCATCAGAGTGTTGGACCAAAAAAGGGGGACATTCTGGGATCCAAACAGAAGCCAGAATTGACTTCTGTGATCTGGGAAGTCCTGCTTAAAGTGGGACACTTGTGGGTATGTGAAGGTCCTACATGCATCTTTTCCTCTTAAACATTAGGACCTTCAGCAGACCCTCCCTTGTTGAGGCCTGGGAACATGTTCTTTCTATACTTTGGAGGTGGAGCAGCAGTTTTCCTCTGGAGAGGAAATCCAGTTTTGCATTGTCAAATTTTGTCAAGTTATCAAATTTTGGCCTGTGCTTAAATGATAGGATGCTAAACAGATCTTTGGTGAACAGGCAACTTATTTCAGTAGGAACCAAGAGGGTGAATTTGACTGATGGTCGACGTTATGATGGAATGCCCATAATTCAGGATAAACCTGGTCTTCGAACCAACAAGGTGTGTGTTCAGTAATCTAGGCTGCATGGAGGCATCTTCACAGTGCTGTGGGAGAGATTGGTTATTTGTATCTGGAAGGGGTGCAGGGAGACTGACTCTATCACCTCATCCTTTTCCCTTAACAGCTGGTAAGTGTGATTTCTGATTCTGGAAGAAGCCTCTATTTCTTAATGCATAGGGGAGAAGAAACCATGGATGCCACCCCTGTTTACATGCATGGTTCTTCATCAAGCCTGAGATTCACAGGAGTTGCCAGCAGGATATTCTGTGCCTGCTACACTGTAGATAGTTTGGACCATCCAACTAGCTCATGAAACGGGGTACATGTCATATACAAGTTTGTGCCCTGTTTTGTGTGCCTACCGGAAGGCCCCAAAATAAACCAGTCACTACAAGTGTATGATAAACAACAAAAATGTGAGCATTTGGAACTTTCCCCATAATTGCATTTCCATGCTTGAAAGTGCTTAACCTGTTGAATTGCTGCCTGCCACACAGCTGTTAAAGGTACAAGAACCCTGCTTTCTCCCAGTGCCAACCCTAAACCATGCCCTGTACATACATCAAAGTAAGTCCCATTGATCACGGAGACTTACTGCTGAGTAGACATGTTTACCATTCTATTGTTTGTTAACTATATAGTGAATTTTTAAGAGTGACTGGACTTCAGCTCCTGCACAGCAGGAGATAAGCCTATGCCCCTTTTTCTGGACAAAATTTTCACATTTTGCTTTTGCCATTTCAGAGAAGAGGGGTTCTTTGACCTTCGCTTGCACTCAGTGTGTAATTGTATTTGCAGGAAATATCTTCTGGGGTGTACTGTATCGGAATCCACTGCAGAAAAGATGCATCCTGTTTTTCTAGGAAAAAAGAAGGGCAGAGAAGAGAGAGAGAGAGCAAAGGACTGGGGAAAGAAATGAGACCAGGGCAGGAAAAGTGGATGAAAGCGGAGAGCAAAAGAGCAGCTCTTTAGGTGCCCAAACAACTCACTCATCAGTCACAACTCTTGACTTTACTCATCAGCTAAAAACACTACCAGGCAGGCTCACTTCACAGAAATTGTTTAGAAGGGCACCTAAACATTTTGCTTTATAACTTTCATTCTAGTAGACTAGAGACTTGCTTTGAAAAAGAAAAAGAAAAATGGAAGCCCCAGGGGCTGTGTATTTGGTACACTAGTGTGCCCTATACCCACCTCTAGGTGGTGCTGCTTCTGCACATACTGTATATGCGCACATATGCTCCCTTGCTGGATGAAGACACAAGTTTGTGGATAGATTAATGGTTTTCTGTTAACCCTTGCAGAAAGTTAGACCTTACACTGTGGCTCATCACTTTTGCTAACTGTCATCCTTTCCTAAAGAAGATTAAAGTGGTTTCAGAGAAAGAAATCTTATTTGCTTCCCCCCACCCTGCTTTTTTTACTTCCATCTGTCTGGTTTGCAGGAACGAGAATGGCTGTTGTTTTATGCTTATATATTTGTTTGAAGCATTTTTACCTTACTCTTCAGGAAAAAGAAGACCCCTCAGGATAGTTTGCAAAGATCAGTAATAAGACAACTCCTGCCCTCAGGCTTGCAGCCTAAAAGGTACAGCATAAAAGGAAAAGCGGTTGGGGAAGAGGAAGAGGAAGGGGGGAGCAACACTTGGGGTACTAGTTCTAAAATACCTTTTTTAAAAAAAAAAGTCTAGCTGGGATGGAGACAGTTCAGGGAGAGAAGGACAGGGTCCTTCAGCTGAGCTGGTGAAGTGGCACTGCCCTCTGCTTCAACCTGATGAAATGGTTGCTGGTGGTGGCCCCAACTGCCTCATGTTGTTTTAAATAGTTTTGAATGTTGTATTGTTATGCTGCAACCTGCCCTAGGACCATAGGGTGAAGGGCAGGTAATCAATTAATGATGATGATGATGTTCAAATCATGTTCAGTACAGGGAGGCCTGTTGCAAGCTCTAGGATTTGCAGTCAGTTCAAGTGGTTTACTGACAAAGAACTGACAAAATTTTGAAATCACAGTAGCATGCATAACATACTTTAAATATTATATTTAATGTGCAATATATATATCTATAAAGAGTTAGTTCCGAGATTTTAAAGAGTCACTTATAGAATGAACATTTTTGTGAAAGGAACACAAAATATAAATAAGATTTGAACATTAGGGGGGAAATCCAGTATTTCAGAGCCAGCCAGTGCAAGGCATTGCAAAAGATCAAAGAATTCTGGGCACTGTAAAATTCACTTCATAAATAGCTCAGGTAGAAATTTGCAGTTGAAATTTGCTACTTTTTCAAATTAATGAGTCAAATTAGCAACACTAATCTGGCATTTTAAATGTATGAAAATGAGTAACTGTTCAATCAAAACATGATTCATTATCACCCATGAAGCAGAAACTGATTGCTATAAGACCCAGTATGCGCCAGATATTCTTTCTGTTCCAAAAAACCCCAAAGTAATTCCAGTTAGTATGAAATAATATAATTTGGTGAGTCCCATCTTACCATGTGCACAAGTTTAATCATATCCAGGGTATTTATTCTCAGAGATCTATTAACAGAATTCGTAAAATACAAACTAATCTGGAAAACAAATTCATAAAGATGTAACTCTTTATCAGGTGCATAATTTTCTTTATTTCTTTAGGTGCTGGAATGGAAACCACAGATATGTCGATTGATCTCACCACCACTTCTGTAGTGCTGCAACACTGGCCACCACACTCCAAAAAATTAAGAACCCAATCTTCTTTTTTCAAAACACAGCTGTCTCCTACCATCAGGTGTCTTTTACCAGCATTGAAACACACAAGTGCTCATTAGATGAGCAGAGGGCTGATGCCACAGACCTAGCGGAGGATCTACACTTGTCGTTTACAACTTTAAAAAGTATTATTGAAATGTAATTCCACCAGAGGGTGCTGCATAGCAGCAAGCCACCAGCAAAGAAAAACTGCCATTAAATGTTATATTTTTAATAACGTTTAAATGATCAATGTAGATCCAGCACTAGAACCCCACCCCAGCTGATGCTCTTGTCTAAAAGATCTTAGACCAGTGGTTCCCTGAGGGTGGTAGGATTACCTAGGGGGTGCCAAGAGGCAAGGGAACAGCACACAGTCAGTGTAGGTGGGTCACTCTGAGCGCATTGATTGCTTCTTTACGATTGACCAGGCTGGAGTCTAGAGTGAAACACCACCCTTGCTTTTAACTTAAAGCTCTACTGCTCTTGTCGCTTTCAAAGCTATTTTGTTTGGTCACTTTTGTATGTACGATTTTTAGCTGCTACAAGATAGCCAATTATTGGTAATAGTTATTTATTTTCTTATAAATTAGTTACCGTGCATGTGTGCAAGGTGAAGGTTTGTGTGTGTTTGGTAAAGAGTTATATATAAACATTTTATGCTATAGGTTTACTTCGTCATGCTTTTGTTGGTAATAATGCATAGAAATATTTCTCATGAAATATTCACTGCTGCATATTCTTGTTTTAGCCTCAAGAATAGATCAGAGCATATATTTGTGTTGTGTCACAAACTCATGATTGTAAGCCCATCCATCATATTAAGAATTTACTGAAGTTGTGAAGTAATTATTAAATGTTGTATCTAAGACTCTTGCTAAATGACAATCATGGCCCTGAAAAGCTGTTATCACTGGATCAAGTTAATCGATATTGTGAAATTGTTTTTAATTGGATCGTGAATAAATGTGCAATTGAATTTTTTGGTGTCATTATCTTCCTTAGTGTGTTGTGCAATCCACAAAACTTTAGATGCTATTTTGATGTCATTGAGTTCCCTTTGTAGAGAGTTGGTCCCCAGGTCAGCAGCATCCCAGATTCTGACTTTGAGATTTTAGGGTCCAAACCTGAAACCAGTCCAGACATTCTCCACTCCTGTCTCTTAGCATTCCAGTCTCCCTCAGTCAATTTTTGTCCTTGTTGTCTTTGACTCACTCGAGAAGAACAAAAGGCCAACCAGAAGTTGCTGAAGGTGGTAGAGACAGCAGGGTTCGGCTCCTGTTGCTGCTCTTCACGTGCTCTGCCTACTTCTGCAGCCCTAGCCCTTGCACCAGGTACACATGCACACTCACAACCCTCTCCTCCGCTTGAGCCCAGCCCAGTTCTTTTTCTTCTTCTGTGTTCCCTCCCATCACTGAGCCTTGGAAGTGGAGGTTTACTGAGAGAGGGTGAGGGCAGTATCCCTTTCTCACAATAACTGCTATAATTTGTAGACAGCTCCTGCCAAACTGAAGCTCACAAGCTGTCCACAGAGTCTTGTAATTAATAAATAAAATTCCAGGAGTTCTCACTCACAGGGTGGGTCTGGCAACCTGAGCTGCACCAAGTAGAACCTAGAACCTCCCCTGCCATTTCTTTGAGGAATAATCTTAATGCAAGATGTATTTATTTGGGATCAGGGAAAGCTGATGGTTCATATTTACCTGCTGAAGCCCAAGACCTCCTGGGAATGGGGTTCTGACTGGCTAGTCCTTCCTGGGACGTGGGTGGCGCTGTGGTCTAAACCACCTAGCCTCTTGGGCTTCTTGATCAGAAGGTCGGTGGTTTGAATCCACATGATGAAGTGAGCTCCCGTCACTCTGTCCCAGCTCCTGCCAACCTAGCAGCTCGAAAGCATGCCAGTGCAAGTACATAAATAGATACCACTGTGGGGGGAAAGTAAACAGCATTTTTGTGCGCTCTGGCACAGAAGCGGTTTAGCCCTGCTGGCCACATGACCTGGAAAGCTGTCTATGGACAAAACGCTGGCTCCCTTGGCCTGAAAGCGAGATGAGTGCCACAACCCCATAGTCACCTTTGACTGGACTTAACCCTCCAGGGCTCCTTTACCTTTTTACCTTTTCCTGGCCCCTCAGATATTGTCTACCACCCCAGCCATTCTGGTTGGGGCTTAATGGAGTTGTACCCAAGCTTTTCTCATGGAGGCAGCAACTTGTTCTTGGGACTGATTGCCTCTAAGAATAAGAGAAATGCACTGCTAAGGAAGACACTCTCTAAATAAGAAGGGTGATCATGTAAGGGGATTCCATTATTAAGGCATCTCATCCTCCTTCCTTCCCCCATTTGCCAGGCACATGAAATCATTGTCCTTTTGTCGGGTCCTTAAAGCGTTGCATTAAAAGAGAGTGCCTTTGGAAAGTTTTCCTCAAGAGGCTTTTGAAAAGCTTTTTTGAAGAAGCTACACTTTTAGTCCTTGAGTAAACGACACTAGGGATAGGTATATGCTGTACTTATTTTCTGCACAGAATAATAGAGCATTGTGAGTGAGACCTGTAACGAAACGTTGCAGTGCGTTTAAGTTTATTGTGCCACCTTGATCATGGTTTTGACTATAGAAAGGCGGCATAAGTCCAGCATAAGTACAATAAAATAATGTATGCATGTGTGTGCTTACTGTTACAGGAAGCCAGCCCTGCTCCGCCAACATCACAATATGCCACAATCCTCTCTACCACTGCCAGTTTTCTGGTATTCTATGGACTCTTAATTCACATTGGCTGTTTTAGCATTGCCACTGCTGCTTAGGAATATTATTTTCTTTCTCTCCCTCTCTCTGCTGTACTTCTGCAAACTTTAGAGCTCCTCCGAGCCTGCTGAGACCTCCCTCTTGTGTGTTGGTCATGCTGTCAGAGGTGTAGCTAGGGCTGCACATCAGAGATGAATACAGGACCCTGCAGTCCAGGAAAACCTCAGATTTGAACGTTGTAAGTGTGATCAGAAGGTCCCAAACTACAAGAGAGATGGATCTAATGTCACGTACAAGGAAAGTACTGGCAGGATAATAAAATCATTTATTTCAATTACAGCGCTACCTCGGGTTACAGACGCTTCAGGTTACAGATTCCGCTAACCCAGAAATAGTACCTTGGGTTAAGAACTTTGCTTCAGGATGAGAACAGAAATTGAGCGACAGCGGGAGGCCCCATTAGCTAAAGTGGCACCTCAGGTTAAGAACAGTTTCATGTTAAGAACGGACCAATGGAACAAATTAAGTTCTTAACCTGAGGTACCACTGTACGTATTAAATGATAAAAACATGGTCTGCACTTGAATTAAGGGGTGGAACATTCATACACGTGGCATAAGAGTCTTAAAGGTCATTGAAAGTTTAATGACAGGGAGGGGCTGTAGCTCTATGGCAGAGCATCTAAAACGTCTGCTTTGCATGCAGAAGGTCCCAGGTTCAGTCCCAAATGGTAGAGCTGGGAATGTCCCCTGCCTGAGAGAACTTCTGGCAGTCAGTGTTACTGAGCTGGATGGATCAACAGTCTGGTTCCATGTTATTTATTTATTTGGAGCATTTGTACCTGAAGAAGCTTACCTATAATCCAAACAGGACATTCCCTGCCCACAGGCTTGCAACCTTTTAAAAGGCTTGACACACAAAGAAAAGGGAGCAGGGAGGGAGGGGGGGGGTAGAAATCCAATCCTTAAACAGTTGTGTTTATATACTGACCAGCTGGCCCAGTTTAGGGGCAAGGGATGCCTGGTGGAGCTGGGCTTTCAGGAAAGCTGATGTGCACATACGACAAGCATGCATATGGTCCCTATGAACACATTATTGCATGCCACCCCAAACTTCAAGCAGTGCAAGATTCCAGGGGTTCCAGGCATGCTTCCTTTCAAATGAGGGACAGTGGAGACTGTGTTTTCTTTGGGATATATGGTTTATTTGCACATATATACAACCTGAGCCTACGATGGAGGGCTTCACAGCATTAACACCCCAAGAGGGTCTTGCGTCTCTTCCCTGGACTTCAAGAGAAATCAGGCATAGCCCTGTCTCCCAGCTGCCCAGCCTGCAACCTTGTCAGCTTCCAGCTCACACAACTCAACTCTCGACTCAGTCTTTCTAACTCCCAGTAAATTGAGGGATTCGGCCCACTTATTTGCTGTCTGGCACACAATCACTTCCTTTCTTCCCTTAATGTACCATTACCTAGGGCAGGCATAGACAAACTTGGCCCTCCATATGTTTTGGGACAACAACTCCCATCATCCCTAGCTATCAGGACCAGTGGTCAGAGATGATGGGAATTGTAGTCTCTAAACATCTGGAGGGCTGAGTTTGCCTATGCCTGACCTAGGGTTTTTCACCTCACCAGGAAACTAGCCTACTCCAGGAATTAGAAGAGTCTCTGCATGCAGCCTACTGCCCCCACCCTGCCATCCAAACTCATAACACTATAATGATGTACATATACAGCTCTTCCATGTGAGTGACCCTGGCTGGGCCAGGATACACCCTCACATGGAAGAGCTCTATGTGCTCATATGACATATATGTGCATATAGCTGTTTCACATGATGGGCTGGCAGTGGGGGTGTGGGTACCTCATACCTTGGTGATAACATGGCTATCCTACATGGTTCCCTTCGATATGTTCTTCATGAGGAGTCTCTGAGGCTCCCAAAATACAAAACTGGAGTTTGTGCCAAATCCTCCTAATCTGAACAATCTTTCTACATTTAAATATTTGGACAGACAGAGACTTCCGGGTTGGCGCCATCACCGAATGGCGGATTCCCTCCGAGCTCCGGAGGGAATCTGCTTGGCAGGGGTCGGGTTCTGCCGCGCCGGCGACGCGGGGACCCTCAAAAACCACGGGCGCGGATGCCCGTGGACCTGGTGACTTGGCGGGCACTGTTTGCGCCCTCCCGACCCGCGAAGGAGCCTTTTTAAAGGCTACGGAGCGGGGGACGGGGAGCGGCGCGGTGCTGTGAGTCTTCTGCTTCCCCTGCCAAGCGAAGCCGCATGCCATTCGATGGAGAGCACTGACTTCTTCTTCTAAAAAATTGGACTAACTAGAAACAATAACCCGTGAGTAATTGGGAAATTGGACTAAAAATCTTTTTTGGATTCGGTACGAGCGGGGGAGGTGCAAAGAGGAAGTCCGTCTCCCCCTAATTGTAAACAATTTAAAGCAAGGATTTGACAACTAAGGTCGAGTGAAGAGCCTTTCTTTATTGGAGAAAAATCATTAATTCCACGGATTGATAGTATAAGCAATTGTGCTGGAGGATGAGCTAACTTTTTGAGTGAAATTGCCACCCCCCCGGGACCGGGAGTGATCCGCGAGAGGAGCCTGCTGAGGAGATACAGAAGATTTTGACAGCTGTCAGATTAGCTGTCAAAGTCGGAAAAATAGAGAACTTTATTTCTGATGTTTTTGCTGGTTAAAATAGACACAATATAGTTACAAGTTGCTGAAAATAAGAAGGATTGAAACAAACTAACTTGACTTTTGGGCTGGAAAGTGAAAGGAATATTGAACAATCAGAACCCCTCTAGAGGGGGTTCAGAGACATTGCAAGAATGGAAATAGGTCGGAAAATACTAGCTGGCCTGGACGAGGTTGCTTTTCTCATGAGAAAGTTGCAAAAGTTGTATGAGCAAGGTCAGGTTTTGTCTACAAGTGATGTAACTTCGAAGTCAATAGTAATTGTATCCACTGAGTTGGAAAAGGATATGAGCTACAAAACCCAGGCATCTGAACAAGAAAATGAACAAGAGGAACAGGAAGGAGGGGCTGCAGAACAGCAGAAGGTAAAGGAGAGCCGGAGGCCTGCCAACATGGAAGATGAAAATAAAGATTGGAAGAGGAAAATTTGGTCTGAATTTAAAAAGGAGGAATGGAAAGATCTCCTTTTGTGGGGATCTGAAGATCTATGGACCATAAATTTGAACAAGGTGGAAGT